CGACTTATATAACTATACCGAAGAATTCCGCTCGAACAAACGACTATATATATAGGTTGGCTCGCTCCCGCTCTCAATTACACACATGGGGGTCCCATCGACATCAAAAATATACCATTGCAAAATTCATGTAAAGCGTCGTGAATGCAAAATGTCCTTCCAATAAAAATAATATTGTCGGTAATAACTCCAGGCCACCATAGTCACATTATAGAAAACATAATACTCAGTCTAATTAACAATGAAGCTCTGAAGAAAGTGCAGAACAAGAAAGTGAATGCACAAAATAACTGTTACGTCACATTATGTCATAGAGAGAGGAAAAGTAGGATGGTACAAAAAGTAATCACCGAATTATGTCGTGCTTTATAATGGCTCGTATATACAAAAAAGAGAAGAGAGGATACAAAATGAGAGGGTGAGAAAATAATAGTGAAGTGAAGTCAGTATAAGAAAGTAGTATTATAGAACATATGGCCACGTCACGTGGGCACAAAAGAGATTTACAGGGCGTTAAAAAGAAGAGAAAACCACAATTATCACAAATTGAAACTGAACATATTTGGTGATGTAATTATGTCAGGGAAAGGTATGTGGAAGAGAGGAGAGAGAGAGAAGAGGAGACGAGAGAGATGGTTATGATGAAGACTACCGCTGGGTGCCCTTACAAAATTGATACAGAGTGAGAGGAATTGGGAGGAGTGGAGAAAGGAAGGTAGCCATGATGAAGACACGAGGAGTTCATCATGAACTACTGGTGAGAGAGTGTTCAATGGAGGAGGCCAGGGGAGAGAGACCAATGGACTTGAGAGAGTCCGTCAGAGTTTCTCCAAGTCACCGGCTGCTTCCCTTTCCCCCTCAGCCAGCGCCTCATTATCTCCATGGTGATGCTATCGGCATCCAGTTGACATTGAGATCTGATGGTTGGCATGACGGACCCATCGTTGTCCTCCAGTAACAGAGTCCCCAACATCTCGTAGTTCACTCCGACTTTTGTGATGATGTTTATGGGTTCTCCCGAGTGTGTGGGGAAACTGAGGAGCTCTGGAAGTGTCGGCCTTTCATCTGCAGTTGGAAAGGGACAGAAGAGGAGGAGTGGAATAAATGAAAAGCGGGGGAGAGAGAAGAGATGTAGACTCCCCCAAATCTTCAATTATACACCATGCAGGTTTGAGCCCATTTCAAACCTTTATAGTTAGAGCAAAGGCCAAAGGATGGTAGCTTTGGTTTTCAGAAACACACACAAACAGTCAGAGCTCACTCACCCATTCTGGAAGACGGAGAGGACGGGGAGGGAGGGTCAGTGATAGACACATTCGAGAGAGAAGTTGTAGTTGACTCGGCGGCTATGGAAAAGAGGAGAAAACAGTTTCAACACTGACGTAAATCAAACAACAGAGTGTACAAAAGACACACTCACAATCCGAAGACTCACCTGGAGCAGTTCGTGGTCCAAGCCACACCCTCTGAGCAGGAGTGAGGGGACCTTCACTGATGTCCCCAGTGATTGAGCAGATGAGGTTGGAGTGGGCTTCATTTGGAGTGGCTGTGTGCACGTCGTCTGGGCTGCAGGGGCACTGGAAGGCTACAGAGGCTCGCGACTTCTTGAAGCGGAAAGCACTCGGTGCACTATCCACTGCATCCATGAGCATGTCACGGATTTCTGGACAGATGCAGGGCAGGTCGGCCTGTGATGCAGTCAGGTACACAGTGAAATGAGTGACTGCATGAACGAGCGTATCTTATACGGCTTCTTTGGATGTTGCAACCGCACAGCATTGCGGAAGTGACAAGCTGGAACTTTAACTTTCTTTCTTTTCTCCATGGCGTAAGCCGTGGTCCACCCATACTTGGAGCGCATGCAGGTATGGGTGGAGCAGAAGACACCTTTAGCGATGCGGGACATGTGGAAGTGGAGAAAGAGAGGGGATACGTGCTCACTGGGGGCAGGTACAGCGGTTGAGGCTGCACTATCACCTGAACCAGTGCCTACACTACTTGCAGCTACACCCTCACTTCTATCAGATGAACTGGAGCCTTCGCTAGCAGCATGCACCATTTCTTTCACCACTTTCGCTACCCTTCCTTTAAGCAAACCCTTGCGAACCACGTAAGCCAGAAGTTGATTGATATCCTCGTACTTGAGTAGTTCGAACCCCTCTGCAGAAGGCAAAGCTTTGATCAGCTCCAAAGTAAGCTGTCGAAAGGCCAAGATCGGAGCCTCACACACTCCTGTACTAACGGAGCAGTTCGGGTCGCACTTGATTTTGAAGACGTGATTCTTGGAGAGCGTCTTCCCCGAGCGAGCCACTCCTACGGCCATGGACTTCAGAAAGCCCAGTGGGAAGTAGCCGTCCTGGAGGGCAGCGTCCAGGATCTGTTTGGCCTTCTCGGGAGTCACTGCAGGTACAATAGCAATCTTTAAAACAACTTCATCATATAGAGGATGGAGAGAGAGCATAATTATGTTCCCCTTTCAGGCACTCACTAATTAAAAGTGCACACACACTTTCTGTAAAACCTTTGTTATATCTAAATTACGTGTACATCTGGTTACAAACCACAAACCACACCCAACACTCGACATGTACAGTACACACCAAAAAAAAGTTCCCACTAGGGCGCCGTAGTACGGTCACACCGTAGAAAAACTACGGTGTTGATACGGTCTAGCTACGCTGTTACTACGCCGTATGTACGGCGTAGATGCACTTGTACACCGCCGTAGCGACGGGCGGCTTGGCACGGCGTTCTTCGCCGTAGTTTTGCTACGGTGAAGTTCGGTGTGGCACTACAAAAGTACTCGAAGCGAAGTCACACGCGTGTTCACCGACTACGAGAAGCGAAGGATGCTAGCCCTCAGCCGCAAGGGGATGGGCCCCCCTACTATCGCCCGGGTATTCCGTGCTGAAGGTGTGCGTGCAAGTCGACGAGGAATTCAGAAGTTTCTTACCCGCTACGAGAGGACAGAGAGTCTCGCTAGGCAGCCGGGGAGTGGAAGAAGGACTATAATAACGCAAGACATACAGGACATCGTGGAGGGGCAGATGAGATCCGACGACGAGACTACTGCCACGCAGCTTCACCAGTTGCTGATCAGCCGCGGCCGTGACATATCCCTTCGTACGGTGTTACGGTGCAGGACGGCACTGGGGTGGACCTTCCGTGGAAGCGCCTATTGTCAACTGATACGTACCGCCAACAAGGCAGCACGATTGCAGTGGGCTCGAGACTATTTGAGCGAAGCAGAACACGGTTTCGAGGACGTAATCTGGACGGACGAATGTAGCGTCCAGATGGAAAGTCATCGAAGATTTTGCTGCAGAAAACGGGGAGAGCCCCCGAAAAACAAGCCACGCCCAAAGCATCCCACAAAAGTTCACGTATGGGCAGGTATAAGTGTCAGAGGAGCTACACGGATCTGCATCTTCGATGGAATCATGGACGCGGTCCTGTACATCGAAATTTTGCAGCAAAACCTCTTGCCGTTCATTCAGACCGTGTATCCGATATCACATCGGTTCATGCAAGACAATGATCCGAAACGTACCTCGAGAAAAGCTCGGGAATTCTATGCTCAGAACTCAATCAACTGGTGGAAGACTCCAGCCGAGTCACCCAACTGTAATCCCATCGAGAACTTGTGGCACGAACTAAAAGAGTACATCAGACGAGAAGCTAAGCCGAAGACAAAAGAAGAGTTAATCAGTGGAATACAGGGGTTTTGGGCCACTGTCAATGCTGAGAAGTGCACCAAGTACATTCGGCACCTGAGGAAAGTAATGCCTAGGGTTATTGCACTTGGAGGGGATGCAACAGGATACTAATAACAATAATGTCTATCCAATGTGTAACTTGTGCATAATTGTCTCATATTTCATTATCAAAAGTCTGGAGCTTCCTGATGATGCTCTGCAGCTGCTAACTTTTCAGCTGTCAGTTCTCAGTCATTTTTCAAAGAAGGGCTTTTTCTCTTGCCAATGAGCTCCAGTGTAAGAAGAGCAGTGAGGATCTCCCTGGAGGGGGTGGAACCAGCCAAAGAATGTATGTTTACTCTAGCGCTGTACTCACATACAGCAGGGGTTTTTACCGCTAAACCACAAAAACCCTTGAGCACCGGGCGGGCCAACGTCCTGTAAACACTTAGTTATGTAAACTTCCTCTTGCATAACTGGGAGTGATAATTATAGTGCATCTGTGCTGCATATAATAGGCAGTCACAATCTTGTCCTGTGGGAAGATGAAGGTACACTGTCTGTTGTGAGGAAGGAGCTGGTAACAAGCTGGGAGACATAGGGGACAACTGCCACTGAAAGCAGGGAGCCATACTTTCACTGCAAAGTTGGTGTCTCAAGGTAATTATCCACACACAGAGCACCAAAAAAAAATTGACACCCCTGCTCTGCATATAGGCACACAGGAGGAAATGGAGAAGGCTTTAGAGGAATACATCGCACAGGTCTTACAACCTACAACACCAGAAACATGGGTTGAAAACTATCCCAGTACACTGGAAGTAGCACAGCATGCAAACACTGCAGAGGATCTGACTACAAACACTGCAATGCCGACACCAACAAAGAAGACAAAGAGGGGCCCAAAAAGAAACACACGTAATGTAACCTGTTCTAATAAGCTATCGACACATGCACTTAGATTAGTGCCAAGGTATACACACAAAGTCTGTTCCTTCTAGCCGCTACAAAGCAAGTGGCGAAAAGAGGAAGGATCATTAGTTCCAGTGCTGCCTCAACAACCCAAGCCCCCCTACAGTCTGCAGTAGAGCCAAAAGACTCCATGGCTGCCCTCGAACCTTCAGATCTTGTGGAATACCTGACTTCTCCAGCCACTATAGAAGAGGTGGAGACGGAGGAAAGTGCTGCACTAGCAGGTATAATTGGAGATCAGAATGAAGCCACACCTGCATGGGCTGAGCTCCAGCACAAACAAGATGAAGCTACATGGGCCCAGAAACTCCTGGAACAAGGAAATGGTAACAGCTGTAGCCATGGGCTGCTATGTCAACCAAATAATACATACACATGTGTACCAAGTTTCATATCCATACCATTACCAAGTTTCAGGAGTGAAGAAGTAAATTTAAAGAGAAGTGCCTAAGGCTGTTTACAAACATGTTAGCTTATGTTATTTGGTTTTTGAGATACATGAGTTCAATCCCATTTCCATTCCAGGAAATCTGATGCATGTGTTCGAGCTCAAAGAACAGTTGCAGGTGGTACAGAGAAACCAACTTTTGATCCTCCAGCAGCTGGGCACACTAACATCCACACCTTCCACTCCTGCTCACTCTCAACCACAAGAGGAAGTTGTAGGAGTAGTTAATGTACCATCAACCAACAGCTCCCAAGCACCAACTGCACTACCACTTGAGGGAGTTAACGAGAGTACCTCCTTGTCATCAAGCGAGATTGATAAGTCACAGCTACGTTCCATACACCAATTTCTGTGCCACCAGCCCCAAACCAAGATAACCAACGCTGGGAAGCTAACTGTTCTCCTAGCACGTGAATGTGTTTTTGGGGTTGCTCTCATGAGGCGATGCACGCCACTAGGAGCAGGGAAGCTGCCTGGCCTACCAGTACGTGAGCTCCAGTGGCTGAAACAGCTAATGCTGGAGCGCTTCCCAGAATTCTGGGGAGATGTAGAACAATTTACTGGAAGAAATGCCAGTCTGCACTGGAACATGGCTGTAGTAGTCTCCGTCGGAAGTAACTTAGCCGTTTGCCAGAGAAAAACATATACACATAGCTATTCATATTATCTATTTACTTACTGTTCGTAAGTCTCGCTGACCATATCACCAACTTTCAGTTCATCCCTTCACCATACTGCACTTCACCTGTATGTAATATGTACGTAACATGTACAATGGCGAACAAAATGCGTTGATCGCTACTGAAAACTGTACCTGGGGGTCTGTAGATGATCCTTTGTAGCTTCAATTGCCAGGTAGGGCATCGTGTACACGAACCAAAGGACCAGCAGCTCGCGCGAGCGGTGCAGAACTGGATGCAGAGATCGAGAGCACGGCACGCGGTCACGGGGGAAGAGGCGGGGCCCTTCAACTACGGTGTTTTTCTGTACCGCACCGTAGTACGGTACAGTGCGGTACGGTGCAGCTACGCTGTGCTGCGTGGTGGGCGTAGATACGCTGTACAAGCACCGTAGACGGGGTGACCGGTAGTGGGAACTTTTTTGGCGTGTACTGTAGGTACATAGATGCTCATGTACATTGTACACTGAAGCTGCATGTGTCCAATGAACAATGCTTAGCTAAAGATATAGCACTGGCTTCACTATCACCCTTTGAATCATGTCATTACAATAATCATAATGTAAACTCGATGTTGTTGACAAACGTAATGATTACTAACTCACTCTTGAGGTATGTTTCCTCCACCTCATGTGCTGCTCTCTCTCCCTCCTCACCCCCAACTACATACTCCAGTAGTCTCTTAACGTGGTCAGCCATGTAGTGATCAATTCTCGTTTCGCCTCCTCATCATCACCAAACTTTCCTACTATCTCATCATGCTGGCTCTTTGGTATGTCAAGACAGTCGTCGACATCCACACTCCTCCACAGTGGGACATGGCATGTGACTTGTAGGATGTTGGATCGAGTCAGGCTGGGGTCTGGAGGAGTGAGAGAGTGCGCCTATTTATAACATGTGTACGCGGGTTGTGCTGGAAAAACTGGTTGCAGGGCACTTTCACTTTTGATGTGGTATATGTAAACATGTGAGTGTACATTAGTATTTAGTATACAGAAGTTGGTGAATATATAAAAAGCAAGGAGACAAGACAGGGATGACCTAGTGTATGTGATGCAGTAGTATATACAATAAATGAGGGCTACATATTATTTCAAAATGACATTGCTCACTCATGTACATTTTCCTCCACACTTTACACCATAAAAGTGGCGACAATAAAGGGCTTGTGTGGAGGAAAATGTACATGAGCGGCAACGTCAGTTTGAAATATGTAGCCATCATCTATTGTACTACTGCACTAGGTCATCACTGTCTTGTCTCCCTGTTTTTTAACCATCCCTATATTCACCATTTTTGTAATTCGAAGAACTTTCTAGTACATATTTATTACATATGTACCAGTCACAGTCTGTACGTGAGGTACCCCAAACCTCCCCTCGTCCTCCCACATGCATTTCCCCTCGTTCTCTTAGTCTTTAGTTGTGTGGTATATACCTGTCTGTTGACAATGTGGTAGTTGACTTGAGGATAGTCCACCAGGACCGTCATTAGCGCTCTCATGAACGACGGACTACAGAAGAACTCCAGATATGCCTGTAAGTAGAGAAAAAGAGGGAGGGGGAGAGAAGGGTTATTTTGTGGCATGAATACAAGCAACCAACTGAATTTTCATCATCTGGGTCATTCTTGGGACCTAACTGACTCAGATATATAGAGAAGAGGAGGAGAGGGGAATGGAGGAGGAAAGAGAGAGAGACACAAAAATTGTCTCTTTACTGTTATATTTTTAACACAGGTATGGGAGAGCCTCAAAACACCTACTATTGGTGAACCAACCTGAAAGAGGACGTTACCAGTGACAAAGTCATTATCGACGAGGTTGACGAGGTAGTAGGTGTTCTGGATGTGAGAGATGATGTGGTGGGAGGTGGACTCGGGGCTGTAGAGACTGGCCCAGTGGGTCCCCCACAACATGAAGGCCTCGTCCTAAAGGAGGGGAGACACCATCAGAAACATCTTGTAATGGTAAAAAGAAAAAAAACTCGATGTCTCAAGAAAGTCGCAGAAAAAAGCAGATTGCAAAATTCTGTAGAAGACGGGAGAACGGTAAAACAGAGGAACAGCAGGAAATTCACAGAAAATAATGAGAAAGAGAAATGTTTGGAACAACACCAACAACATGAGAACGAAAAAGAGGTGATTTTTGGCTATACCTTCCAAATATGGAAGCTGACAGGGTCGACGACCGTGGGTTGTATGATCTCCATGCCAGGGAAAACCCTCTGAAAAATAGCAAGTTTTCACCAAAAGTTTCTCAAAGACAGTAGACAGACGACCGTACCTGGTGTGCTAAAAACTGAAATTCTACTTTTGCAGTTGAGTAACAATCACGATGCTCTCTTGTCGAGAGGGTCTTTAGTTGTGTGGTATGTACCTGTCTGTTGACAATATTATGGTAGTTGACTTGAGGATAGTCCTACCTCATGGTTTACTCCGGACACCCTCCCCCATCGTCCTACCCCGTTTTCCCCACCCCGGGGTCTGTGGTACCCCAACCCTACCCCTACCTCCCCTCGTCCTCCCACATGGATTTCCCCTCGTTCCCTTAGTCTTTAGTTGTGTGGTATATATACCTGTCTGTTGACAATGTGGTAGTTGACTTGAGGATAGTCCACCAGGACCGTCATTAGCGCTCTCATGAACGACGGGATACAGAAGAACTCCAGATATGCCTGTAAGTAGAGAAAAAGAGGGAGGGGGAGAGAAGGGTTATTTTGTGGCATTGAAGAGGAGTCTTGCATGTCAAGACATTATTAATCCTTGGGAGAGTTTCCTCCACATTCAAATGGAAAACAAGCAGAGAATGATATAATTATACACTTGTTGCTCAACGATCAACATGTAAATCAGGGGAGAGGGGTCCTTGATTCTGGGGTTCAGATTGCGGGGGTCTTAATTTCAGGGGTCCTAATCGCAGGGTTCAGGTCTGATTCAAATCTCGGTGGCCAACCAATCAGAGGTTTACATGTACAGTACCACTACTCTATACAACACACACACTACATCAGAAGCTGGAGAAGTGAATTTGCTCAGTGAGGTGTCCTGATTACCTCAAATGAGGTAAGTACACACACACATACCTTTTGATAGACGAAGCCTCCTTTCTCCCCCCAGCCGACCACGGGATCAGAGGAGCTGCGGCCGTTGACGGCAGGCTGGCTGTTGATCGTGAGGACTCCGCGACAGTTGATGGCCGCCAGCTGCTGAGTCAGTAGAGACGTCTCCATGGCAAGCTCGTCGTCATTCCAGGGGAGACTGGTCACCTGACAGGAAGTGATGTCAGCAATTAAAACCAGGATATGTACTGGGTTCTTCATTCTTCCATTGGGAAAATCATCCCATTCTTTGGTTCTGGAGAAATAAGGTATCATCATATGAACACACGTATGGTGAAGTATATGTGTATGGTAATGTACATAATGTAACATGTGTTCATAAGGTATGTACATACACATTTACTTCACCAAACAACAGATCGACCAAGGTTAGCCCAATTTTCAACAGTCACTCCTAAAGTATTTCCACTGCACTCTCCAGCTATAGTCAAGGTATTCAGAATGGTTAGTTGGTCTGTCCTTCTCCCCACTTGCTTGTTAAAAGTACGAACGATTTAGGCCACCCTATATTTTCACTGCACTCTCCAGCTATAGTCAAGGCATTCAGGATGGTTAGTTGGTCTGTCCTTCCCCCCACGTTCTTACTAAAAGTACACGTGTGGTATATATACAATACCTGTGTATGTAGCTCTTGGGTCTCTGGGCCCAGAAGATTGGTCTGACGTCTTCGGTACACCTCTTGTGACTGGCTGGAGCTTTCCATGGCAACGTCTTCAGTGACAGCGGGTCATCACACCACATACCTTGGAGGGGGAGGAGGAATATAGATAGAGATATAAGATATAAGTTGGAGATAGATAGAGATATAAGAGGAGCAAGATAGGGGGAAAGACGAAAGTTGTGAGTGAGAGAGGAAAGGTTTGAGCAAGATAGCGGAAAAGATGAAAGAGGATAGAAAGGAGAGTGAAAACTACTATAGTGGAAGAAATGTGAACATACCTAGTTCAGTAAGGATTGAAATAGTGGCGACCTCTCGATTCAGAGTATAGAAATGTAGACCATTCACCTGTACATAAGGAGAGACAGAGAGAGAGGTAAAATAAGTGAAGAAATAGAGAAAATAACATCTCACCAGTCCAGAGTTGAGTAGCTCTTTGCACATGTTGACGGCAAAACTGATGCCAAACTTTTGGATCGCGGCGTCGTCATCTTTGATGGGTAAGATGGCGTCCATGATGTTTCGAGGAACCTCCAGTTTCGATAGCTTTGTCAGATTGTGCAGACTCCTGTAGCCCTATTGTGTGTATATAGAGTACACTTGTACTATAGCTGAGAGAGAAATTGCAAGAATACCACATGGTTTCTGTTGGCACAAAATTGTTCTTGAAACTCGAGAACAGGTGTTTAACTGGACGAGACACAGTGACAGGTACATACATACATGCATGTGGCAAAATTTTCAAAGGGAACAGATATTTAACTGAATTTGAAGAGAAATTTTGATGTCAGTTTACGAGGGCACTACATACAAAGTTTTCGGGTAAGTATACACGCAAATACTGTTGCCGATAGACTAATTGACAACTAATTCGATATACCTGAATGGGCAGTATTCCTGGCATGATGGGAACAGTAATCCCAATCCTCCTGCAGTCATGGTAGAACTTGATGAAAGTTGAGGCCTCGAAGAACAGCTGCGTGATGATGAAATCTGCGCCCGCGTCCACCTTCTCCTTCAGATGTTGAATATCCTCATCGTAGTTGGCGCAGTCCGGGTGACCGTGGGGATAACCTGGAATTACAGGGACAAACCCGTTTACAAAACTGGACTGACCAGATTAACCTGAATCATTAACTACAGCAAATCTCCTCTAATCTGGACACTAATGTTGCGTGACAGAAAGACGTTTCCAAATTAGTGAGGCATTTTTATTTCATAACTTGCATGCAAAAAATAAGGAAGCATCTACATCAAAAATACTTGCCAACTATGGTCCAAAAACAGCTAAATTTCTATAATGATGATAAAAAGTATCAGTGACTTTTGCATAAAATCGGTTGAAGCGTAAAGAAGTTAGGGAGGAGAAAAAGAAAGATAGAAAAAGATGGAGAGGAAGGAGAGAGGGGTTGTAAACCTGCCACACAGATGGTGAAATAGTCTCCATAAAGTTCTCTGATGAACTTGACGAGATCAGTTCCGTAGGAGAACCCATCAGGTATTGGTCTCCAGAAATGACCATGGCTGCTGCACAACCGCCCAGCTGGACTAAACTAAAGCGCTTATTGCAGCTGTCTCTCTCCCGATCCATCGCTATAGCTCTGGCTCTCTCCGTACACTCGAGGGTGTGCGTTAAAAAGAGGGCGTTTTGAAAGCTTTTGCGCAATAGCATTGGTCAGAGCCTTACCGCCGGATGTCATCATACAAACACGGCTTCGGCTTGTGGTCTACTGGTGGCACACTCGTGGCTTCAGTTTTGATAGACCACTCGTGTACAACCAGTAGACCACGCGCCACCATCGTGTAACATAATATAGACAGAGGTAGAGGAAAATGCACAACCTAGGGTGGTACAAAACGAGTCAGAAGAGAAAAATCGAGAATAAATAATTGGTGATGAAATAACATCTAAAGGAAACGATACCAGAGAGGCAAGTAGAAGAGAGGTTTACAAACGTAATCGCTGCTGTGCACCCTTACAAGAAGAAAAGAAAGGTGACAAAATATGAGAGGGAGAGAGGAAGGAGAAAGAGAAAGAGAGGTTATAAAAAAAACTAAGATGAAGAAAGTGAGTAAAACAGAATGTGATAACGTCACGCGTGCCAAAAAAGAGATTATAGGGTTGTAAAAAACACAGCAGAAGAGGACTGTCACAAATTGAAACAAGAACATAATTGGTGATGGTGATGGAAAAAGAGGAAGACTACATGAACATGTGAAATGGGCAAAAGAACTTGTAGACTTTGCCATACTCACCAAATGAAAATAAAGTTGTAATGTACCTGAGAAATGGGGGGAAAACTTGTAGGCTGCTTCCAACGGCAAAACACTCACAGGCTCCTTGACGTAATCGATAAACGTGCACAAAAAACTCGTAGGCATTCTCGTGAAATGGCAAAAAAACGCGAAGGCTATTTGGCGCTCAAAGCTAGCTGCAAATGAAATGCAGTGAAGCTACAAACATTGTCAAAGAGAGAGAGAGAGAGAGGTCAAGGGTGAGGTGTACACGAGATCAGGAGTGAGATGACGGCAGTTTCTGGTGAACCTCGTCAGCCAGAGCTGAGAGGTCGCAGTCTCTGAGTGTCTTGATGAGTGTCTCCCACGTCACTGGCTCCACCCCCCTCCCCTCCAGCCACTCCTGGAGAATTCGCAGAATCGTGTCGTCCGTGTCTCCCTGACACTCCTTCTTGAGAGCGCGCACTCGACTGCCGACTGTGTCGTTGAGGAGAAGGATTCCAAATGTGGAGTAGTTGGCACCAACTCTCTGCGGTATCTTGAGACGCAGCAACTGAGGCAGAGTTGGACGACCTGAGACAATACAACACACCCTGTCACTACCACACTTTAATAACTCTTAACACCACTCACTGGTAAGGGGAGGAGGGAGTGTTGGAGGTGGTGAAGAAGTGGAGGAAAATTGTGTGTTGGGAGGATTAGGTGTGGGAGTCTCTGCAGCTGAAAGAGAGAGAGAAGAGGGAGAATTGATGTACAACTTAACATGAAGAAGGACTCACCAGAAGTAGAGGAGGGGAGAGGAGAGTTAGAGGACGGGGAGAGAGGGTCAGAGGACGAGGACACAGGGACACCAGAAGAGGAAGAAGATGTTGTGATTGACTCTGCAACTGTAGAAGGGAGAGGAGAGAATTAGTACAATATTTAAAAACTCCCTCACACATCAATGACAATCATTCGCAACTAACTGGTGGAGTCGTTTAGAGGCATAGTCTGCACATACATATTCTGCATCCAGTTTTTATAAACCAGGATACTGTATACGCAAAGTAAATAATCTGAGCATGATGTTTGAGTGGGCTTCATTTGGAGTGGCTGTGTGCACGTCGTCTGGGCTGCAGGGGCACTGGAAGGCTACAGAGGCTCGCGAATTCTTGAAGCGGAAAGCACTCGCTGCACTATCCACTGCATCCATGAGCATGTCACGGATTTCTGGACAGATGATGGGCAGGTCGGCCTGCGATGCAGTCGAGGTGACACTGCGAAATGCGTCAGAGCATGGAGAAGAGTGATTTTATACTGCTTCTTCGGATGCTGCAACCGCACGGCATTGCGGAAGAGGCAAGCTGGAACTTTAACTTTCTTTCTTTTGTCGATGATGTAAGCCGTGGTCCACCCATACTTGGAGCGCATGCAGGTATGGGTGGAGCAGAACACACCTTTAGCGATGCGGGACATGTGGAAGTGGAGAAAGAGAGGGGACACGTGCTCACTGGGGGCAGGCACATATCGCTCCATATCCTTCTCTGCCACCGTCTGGAGCATGGCAGGCATTATGAACTCCCTCTCGTTCAGAGGAGCTACAATGTAAAGCTTCTCGAACAGCTTCAGAGCATCGCCTGCCTCAAACAGACCCCTCACGAAGCAACCACGGAACTCCTCTCCCTTCAGCATCTCGCTGCTCACCACCCCTTCCTTCCACAGTCGACACTCGCTCGCAGCCAGCCCTGCAATCGCACCACCCCCACCCGGAAGCTGTACTGGACGATTCGATTTATGCTGTCCAGTGGCATCTGAGGGTCGACAAACACCGCACCAGGGAGGACCGACGGCACGTACATCCACACGCTCATCTTGTTGAAGAAAACCAAGGCAGCCTCCAGACTCTGTCCGCTTCATCTTCAGCCTCCAGCGATGGCCTGGAATTCTCCATGCTCACTACCTTCTTTCCTGCCTCTTCCGCGTACTTGTTCACGTCGTTCAGCAACACGAGGAACGCTATCGGGGTATCCACATCCAGGGCCCGCTCAAGTCCGCCACTTCTCGCGGATCAGATCGAAGCATTTGTAGTCATTCTCGTCGGGATTCTCGGCGTTGACGGCAAAGATGATGTCGTCGCCATTCATGACCAGGTTTTCCTCCAGAGCCGGTTAGAAACAGTGGCCAGCCTCTCGTTCTTCTGCTCCAGGGTTTCGTCGCACTCGTGCATCAGATCTGTGAGTGCCGATCACCATGAACCTGGTGTGCATGCCTTCGCTGCCGGCCACGGGCTTGCACATCATGGTGTGGACAAACTGGACCACCATCTGCTCGTTGGTGAGCAGTGAGGGGCATTGCTCCGTAAACCACTTTCCTTCCTCGTCGGTGAAGGCATTGGTGCACAGAGCATCCAGACGCTCGTGAGCTTGATGAAGACCAGGACGAGGGACACGTTGTGACTGAAGGCTGCAACGACCTCGTGGAATTGAGGCTGTCCTCGCTGTCCAGGAACAGGATTATCTGCAGCTTGAAAGTTCTCTTGTAACTATCACACCTTGGCCCAACTTTGCTGACTACAGCTGTCGAGGCGGCACTATCACCTGAACCAGTGCCTACACTACTTGCAGCTACACCCTCACTTCTATCAGATGAACTGGAGCCTTCGCTAGCAGCCTGCACCATTCTTTCACCACTTCGCTACCTTCCTTAAGCAAACCCTTGCGAACCACGTCAGCCGAGAGAGTTCGACTTGAGATGCAAAGCTTTGATAGCTGTCGAAAGGCCAAGATCGGAGCCTCACACACTCCAGTACTAACGGAGCAGTTCGGGTCGCACTGATTTTGAAGACGTGATCCTTGGAGAGCGTCTTCCCCGAGCGAGCCACACCTACTGCCATGGACTTAGAAAGCCCAGTGGGAAGGAGCCGTCTGGAGGGCAGCGTCCAGGATCGGTTGGCCTTCTCGAGAGTCACTGCAGGTACAATAGCAATCTTTAAAAGAACTTCATCATATAGAGGATGGAGAGAGGGCATATGTCCCCCTTTCAGGCACTCACAAATTAAAAGGGCACACACACTTTCTGTAAAACCTTTGTTACATCTAATTACGTGTACATCTGGTTACAAACCACAAACCACACCCAACACTAGACATGTAGGTACATAGATGCTCATGTACATTGTACACTGAAGCTGCATGTGTCCAATGAACAATGCTTAGCTAAAGATATAGCATGGCTCACTATCACCTTTGCACATGTCATCTACAAAACAATAATAAGGTAAACTCGATGTTGTGTTGGACAACGTTAAATGCAATACTAACTCACTCTTGAGGTATGTCTCTCCACCTCACGTGCTGCTCTCTCTCCATCCTTCACACCCCAAACTCCATCCTTCAAGTAGCTCAGTACGTCTCTTTTTCTCTATCCCTCTTCCCCCACATCTCCCACGTCATCTCTTTCCCTCCACCTTACACCCTCTTCTTATCTCCCCTCTCTGTTCCCCGCAGTATGTACTTTCTACCAACTCACCACTCTCCGCTTCCCCTATTCTCCTCCCGTCTACTTTACTACCAGACCTTTTCGTTCGATCTCTTTTTCACCTTCCCTTCCTGGTTCTCCCATTACTTCCCTTAGCTTAGGGTATTTTACGTCACGTCTTACCTTTCATTTCCCCGGGGTAGGACAGGGGTGACCGGCCAGCCATGGTAGTGACAATTCTTGTTCGCCTCCTCATCATCATCAAACTTTCCTACTATCTCATCATGCTGGCTGCGTGGCATCTCAAGACGGTTGTAGGAATCCTCTCTACTCCACAGTGGGACATGGCGTGTGACTTGTAGGATGTTGGCTGGAGTCAGGCTGGGGTCTGGAGGAGTGAGAGAGGGAGGATATTCAGTGACTATTGTTTCCTATCACAAATGTATAGGCAAGGTTAGGTATGAATATTAATACACACAGCTGCTAAAATTAGTAACATCCATAGTACACAGAGGTATGCTTCGTTGAACATGCATGAAGACATGATTGACACAGTGAATGTATTAGTCCACATGTAATGGTCCAGTGCATGACACACAGTTTTAGCTGACTCTCAAGTGTAGGTCTTTGGGGAGGGGATCAGGGAGGGCAGTACACACAAGTACAATGTACATGTGTGAGTGTAGGCCAAATACAGGACAGTGTGTCGGAACTGTTGTTACATGTTCCAAATTTAGATAGAGAATACGTTGAAATAATCTAACCCAAGTTAGATTTTCTGTACGTACTCTAATTGATGCGCGCCTGTTTATAACATGTGTATGTTGTGCTGGAAAAACAGTGCTGCAGGCACTTTAAACAGCTTTTGATGTGGTATATGTAAACATGTGAGTACATTAGTATTTAGTATACAGAAATTGGTGAATATATAAAAAGCAAGGAGACAAGACAGGGATGACCTAGTGTATGTGATGCAGTAGTATATACAATAAACGAGGGCTACATATTATTTCAAAATGACATTGCTCACTCATGTACATTTTCCTCCACACTTTACACCATAAAAGTGGCGACAATATAGGGCTTGTGTGGAGGAAAATGTACATGAGCGGCAACGTCAGTTTGAAATATGTAGCCATCACCTATTGTACTACTGCACTAGGTCATCCCTGTCTTGTCTCCTTGCTTTTTAACCATCCCTATATTCACCATTTTTTCAAGTCGAAGAATTTTCAAGTGCACATTTTTATTACATACCAGTCACAGTCTGTATGTGAGGTTTGGCAATCCCCACAGCCTTTGTTTCTCCTGCTTTATAGAGCCAGAGGGATAAGGCTTTCCAGCTGGGATAAGGACAATAGAGAGCGTAGTACTTCCCAGCCTCAGCAGTGACTTGATCACGATCACTGAACTTCTCACGGAAGAAAGCAGCCCTGGCATCTGGTACTGTAGTGTAGATATCAATATCCTCCCAGTCTCCAGATATGGCAGTAAAGACCGGTATGAGGAGGTGTGGATTGAGGGATGGATCTGAGGAGAGGACCAGCCACTGTCATCAATTGACTATTCCCAAACATTAATCATGTTAAGAGCATGTGTAAAGTGCATATCAACGCTGCATGCATGATCCTTGCACCGAGGGCGCCTTTTCATTAAGGATTTTGTATTAAAATAATTTATTATATTTCAGTGCTTTTTGTTTCCAGCAGCGTCTCCTCGTAGTTGTGGGCTCCGCGTGTATTGCGTCATAAAATTTCCGCACGCAATATCTCGAAATAACGCGCACGGAAGGGCGCGCGCGTTATTGCGTACGGCGCTCGAACGGAAGCAGTTACGAAGGTGCGCTTTCGAACAATACGTGTAACGCAATTTTGAATTTTTGCGCCGAATTGTACCTTTTCCCAGAGCGGGTCACATATACTATTGTAGATGGTTTACAGGAGCTTCTAAAGTAAGATCTAATTACCATATCGACAAAGACTTTCTTAACTAAAGCCGACTCACATAATATCATACTTCACAGCTAGGCAGCTGGCAACTATTTTTAGTCCAAGTAATGACATCATTCACAAGAAATGTAAACTACATACTTTGATTGTGCAAGACTTACCTAGGCAGACAGCTGTGTGGTGTGCTATTGCCACACAGTAGTTAACCCTCTGTGTGGGAGGGGTACGGTACTTGGTTCGTGAGTGTGTGTGTGAGTGAGTGACTGAGTGTGTCTGTCCGTTCGTCTGTTACCACGTTTTCTGCGACTACGCGCAACGAGACAACGAAATAGCGACACGAACAGGTTCATCACTACACTGGCCTCATTTTAAAAAAGGCGATTTTGATATAACTTCTGCGTTCAAAAGTTATGGCGTGAAAGGCAAGTGAACAAGCCAATATGCAAATTAGCACAGGCTTACCTCGACCGGGTCCGCTTGCTCTGTGTATCTTGGAGGCACAAGAAGTCACAACAAAGGGCGTGTATCGACTCTCGCGTGCTATCTACTACTGCATCTAGCCCGTGTCAGACTCTCCGCGAGCTACTAGCGGGAGACCACGAGTCAACGCATAAAAATAGCCCAGCCCATCAATTAGCAGTATCGCGCATGCGCAGTTCGCCGAGGGTTTGCACTTTAGTGCTTTTAATTTTTACAGTTATTTATGCTGCAAAAATTAACACTTCTCTAAGACCCTGAGATTACACCAGAAGCAATCTCAGAAAAAATAAATATAAAAATTTCCTGTGGGACCACACCCCCAGCCAGATCCACCCTACTTGCCGTGTGCTTCAAACACGGATACAGCTTTGCCCCCTTTATTTCACAATTTTGCCCCCCCCTCCTTGGATCGACTTCTAAATGAACCCCTGATGATGTACACACAGCTCATGCTGTGGTGGGTTTCAATATAGCCAGAGGTATACAATTGACTGGCTGTGTTGTGTTCTCTATTGTAGCCATACCTGCTGGGGGCTCTGCATACTCCATCAATGAGTCTGCTAGAGCTGTCTCTCCAATCTCGTCCAGACTGAATATCATGTTTCTCATTTTCATTGGATCTGTACTCTGTACATAGTACTCTACTGCACTGTCAACATCTCTCTTATCATCAGGGATGGAGAGACAGATGCAGAGGAGACTGAGGTCACTGGTGTTCTCAAAGACCTTCCTGATTGTGGCTTTACTTGGAGGGAGTGCTGTGAGGAAAGACAATGACATAATCAGTAACAAACACAACTTCATCAAAGATCTTTATCGATACGGCTCGTGTCGTGATGACGTCATACAAAAAATACGTCATCTCTATCAGACAATACCATCATCATTCACTGGGCAGCCATTACCTAAGAGTTATCATTTTATTTCCTCTGTGTTGGGGTGCGCGGCTCGCGGCGACTGTCTTACGTTTCTTCCACTTCCAGACTTGGTCACCTCCTCCAGTAGCCATCTCTCAGTCACGTGAGCTGCTTCTGGCCGGCTGTACGTACGTACTACTGTGTCATCAGTGGTCGACCTCGTCGATCTCAAGCGCGGGACTCGAAAACTGCCGCAAAGGCTGGGCCGAGAAATGAGCACAGGGCTAGGGCGTGGCTGCAAGAATCACGTGATTTGTAAACAATGTGCGCACGCGCAATCAAACAATAGGAAGTCATGAAGATGAAGAGGAGGAGGAGGAAGGGAGAGAGTTTTGGTCAGTCTCAGTTGTGGGACTACTGGCTTTGCTCATACCGTCCAGTACCTTGTTCACCAGCTGGGAGAGGGAGAGGAGAGAGAGAGAGAGAGAGAGAGAGAGAGAGAGAGGGAGGGAGAAGGTACAGAGAAAAAGGGAGATCATGAACGGGGAGTATTAAGGCATGCACAAATGAGCCTAGCTCTAGTCGAAACATTGGTACATAATTTCTGGGAAAAAACTGAATGGATGAATGTGAATACAAGCAACCAACTGAATTTTCATCATCTGGGTCATTTTTATATAGAGAAGAGGAGGAGAGGGGAATGGAGGAGGAAAAGAGAGAGAGAGAGACACAAAAATTGTCTCTTTACTGTTATATTATTAACACAGGTATGGGAGAGCCTCAAAACACCTACTATTGGTGAACCAACCTGAAAGAGGACGTTTCCAGTGACAAAGTCATTATCGACGAGGTTGACGAGGTAGTAGGTGTTCTGGATGTGTGAGATGATGTGGTGGGAGGTGGACTCGGGGCTGTAGAGACTGGCCCAGTGGGTCCCCCACAACATGAAGGCCTCGTCCTAAAGGAGGGAGACACCATCAGTAACATCTTGTAATGGTAAAAAGAAAAGGCTCGATGTCTCAAGAAAGTCGCAGAAAAAAGCAGATTGCAAAATTCCGTAGAAGACGGGAGAACGGTAAAACAGAGGAACAGCAGGAAATTCACAGAAATAATGAGAAAGAGAAATGTTTGGAACAACAACAGCAAAATGAGAACGAAAAAGAAGTGATTTGTGGCTATACCTTCCAAATATGGAAGCTGACAGGGTCGACGACCGTGGGTTGTATGATCTCCATGCCAGGGAAAACCCCCCAGGTGACCGCTATTGGCTGGTAGGAGTCGCAGTTTGTCATGTTTTCCGTTCCCTGGGAAGGAGAAGAGGGTGGAGGGATTTGAACAGCTATATACTGCAGTGGCTATAGTCACAACTCTGGTTTCGTGCTAAAAAACATTTCGCTATATAACAACAACAAAAATTCAAGAACTGCTGAAAAATAACAAGTTTTCAACAAAAGTTTCTCAAGGGCAGTAGGCAGACGTCTGTGCCTTGTGTGCTAAAAACTGAAATTTACTTTTGCAGTTGAGTAACAATCACGATGCTCTCTTGTCGAGAGAGTTTTTAGTTGTGTGGATGTATATATCCCTGTCTGTTGACAATAATATTATGGTAGTTGACTTGAGGATAGTCCTACCTCATGGTTTACTCCGGACACCCTCCCCCATCGTCCTGCCCCGTTTTCCCCACCCCGGGGTCTGTGGTACCCCAACCCTACCCCTACCTCCCTTCGTCCTCCCACATGGATTTCCCCCCGTTCCCCTTCCCTCCTCTCCCATTGATCACCCACCCTCACCCCTCCCCATCTGCTAGTATATACCAGCTCCTTTACTGCTGGGTTGCCTTAGCAGAGTTCTCGCCTAGACTATAGCCAATTCCCCTTATTAGGACAGCTATTTGTTGTCCTGCGTAGTTGCGTCGTTTGCCTTAGCTTTGACTTCATTATTGACACACATATAATTATAATTATACACACACTGATACACATCAGCGCACACTCCAAAAAGCAAATAATACTTTAATGTAGTAATAGTTTGTGAGCAGAAACCTTCCAGACCACAGTTTAGACATTCTCGCACGAAAGAGCATCTGCAATAACGGAAATAGGGAAAAGCGTGGCTAATGCCACTGATACACTGATAATTATTTCACCTGATGGAAGGTGGTAGGTGGGCCCCCAGGACTTTGCCAAACCAGCACCATTCTTTGCTCTGACCTAATGCGATATGTCATGCAACACAAATGAGCTGCTAAGATAAAGAAATAAATGGAGAGCAGCTATATATTTACATGGATAGAGACGGTGCCATGTGAAGGGACCCAACTCATTGTCACATTCCTTCCTCTCGCGATTAACACTCTCCTCTCACTGGAACTGCCGTATGTTACACCATTGAAGATTCGAACTCTGTACTCTGAGATGCAACTTCCACCGTCATTTGGAGGATCCCATGACAGAACGTCGCAAACCAACTACCACACCATGACACTCATTGGGGTCTGAATTGTGCATCCAGTTTCAGTGCGAAATATATACCCATGTTTTGCCTCTAGAGTGCGAGTAGCCTTGGGTTAAAGCAATGTGATTAGGTCCCAATTTCGAATTCTTATGTAGCTACCCTCGCCGTTTTCCTTACATTATCTGTTAGTAGGAAACAATTTGTTGGTCCCCCAACACACTTGAGCTACACATGTATCATACCTGGAACAGTAAATACTTCTGCAGGGCACTCTGCGCATGATGGGCAGGTTATCTCAGTGCAAGGTGGACGTGTTGGACATTCCGGACAATCCACTGGGCCAGGGCATGAGATAGGAGGAGGACAAGTCGGAGTGGGTGTGGCTGGACAGGACACTTGAGGGCAGGTTGGACACACAGTGGTGGGTTCACACGTTGGACAAGGTCCACAAGTGGGGCAAGTGGGGCAGACTGATGGTGTGTCTGGTGTTGTGGGACGTGGTGAAGGGACTGGGCAGGGAGGACAAGAGGGGGGAGTAGAGAAGGTGACACCAGGGCATGCCAAACAGGTTGGAGAAGGGATTGGGAGGGAGGGGCAGGAGCGACAGGGGTCAGGTGGAGGGCAGGTCGGCCAAGGAGGGCATGAGGGGAACTCCGTGATGACTGGAGAAGGCTCTGGAGTTGAAGTCTCGCTCAAGCACGCTGTGTATACAGAGATCATTCCACAAAGGGTTGTACCTAATACTTAAGGGAATGTGGCAGACCGGCTAAATTTAGACAGGCAGAAAATTAGAATGACCCTATCGTTAAATTTTAGATCTATAGATATTTACTCCTTAGCCAGTACTTTAACATTCCCTTTAACCTTACATATTGCCAGTTTGCGCTCCAGATGCTGGCTTAATCCAAGTATGTTCCGAGCCCTTACCTGCATGTGTGCAATAGCTATACCATGCACAAGTCAACAACTTAAAGCTACTCACCTCCACTGAAACTTTGCCAGTGCCAGGGGGGATATCACTGGGTTGAATGACATGGTAGTGGTAAGTAGGATCAACCACATATACGTCTGTACTCTGCTCTCCCTTCTGAAACGTTAGTAGGTATCCGATGATGCTGCCGTGAGTTTCGGCTGGTGTCTTCCATAAAATCACCGTACAATGCTCCTGAATATCCCAGACACTAGAGGGTACTGAGACAATTACTTCATTATCAAGATGCCCACCACCAAGTCATTTTCCTTGCTCCAGTAGCTCTGTTTTTGTACCCTTTTTTTTACAAAAAACAAGTGACTGAGGAAGGCCTTTAGGATAAACTGATGAGTGCTTAGTAACTACGATTCATTTGTGTTTTAGTTCTAGAGGTAAGATAGATACAAACCTCTATAAAGAGTAGTTGCAGTGGTACTGAGACTCCTGGCATTGATATTGTTGTCCTGAGAGGAGACATCATTCTCAGCAGATACAGAGAATGTGTAGAGGACACCAGGAGTCAGTCCAGTCACAATGGTCTCTGTACTGTTTACTACCAGCTCCATTGTAGCCAGAGAGCCATCTGAAATGAAACTATAATTTTTAGTCCAGTATATTATATAGTTTAAGAGATTTGCAGTAACATCGTCTATGTGAAACAACACTGATAATAATTGAGGAAAAACAAGAACATGCTGTAACACGTGGAATACTTTTATAAACTACGTAACAATAGACTGTAAACTTGAAAGGCCAAAGAGGTTCACCCCTATACAAACAGGTCTGATGTTATAGAGAAATTTTAACTCTAAAGGGTTAGTCTGACTATTAGTGGTACTCTCATCTATTATAGTTCCATATGTGCGTTCCCATGATTATGTGAGAGCTATAATTCACAAATTCCATGACCTGTACATACTATAGTAGGTGTAGACGGTGTAGAATATCTCATAGAGAGGTCTCCCTCCACCATTATCAGGAGGAGACCAGGAGAGGACGGCCGATGTGTTGGTCACATTTGACACTGTCAGGTTCCGAGGAGCTGATGGTGACCCTGCATAGTAGATTAAAATGAGCATAGAGCACATCGAAAAATCTTAACAGCACCTAATAATCACCATAGGGACTCTGTTGTCTAGGCAGGGTGTTTAACTGAGCTATCATGGAAGTATACACAGCAGGCGGGCAAAAGCAAACAGCTAACTCTGAGAATGAAACCCTGTATTATTATAGCTAGCTACTTTAGATTGAGACCCTTAGCCTATGCAATTTTACAACTTTACAAACTTTGCATAAATCACAGAAAACTCACTTACTTGTACAGGGTTCACTGTAAGTGTCAGTAGGTGCCTTGAAGTACCCATTGATGCAGGGGCATTGAGTGCTGAGCCCCAGTTCGGAGTCTGGTATGATACTGTTGGCCGGACAAGGGAGACACGAACTGTTGCTCAGCCCAGCTGAATATGTTCCCCGTGGACACTCTTAGAGAGAAGAAGGACAAAATTGACTAAAAGGGGAAGCACACATTTCAATGTTTACTAAAAGTGTTCTTCTATCAACTTCTTTCTCTCTAAAATATTGTTACAATTATATCAAATTCGACGGCAGATGACTAGAGACCCGTTTCTATTCATTTTTCCACCAACTAACAATAACATGCATGAAATCATACTGTATCGCAGGCGTGATTAATCAAACTGCAAATCCGTACAATTTTGTAATATGAACACGATTTGTATGAAATTCCTGTTATCATGAACTTACTTTGAAGTCCAGGCTTGAGCCCCATTTACTATGGGCACGCAGAGTGTGAAACCTCTGTTACTATGCACAATTTACTTTGTGGTCCCACAAAGCAAACATGTGACTAATCCACTACTATATAAGAGGTGTACAGCCACGTGTGCTTCCGCATGAGTTATGGCCGCCACTTCGAAAGGCCATAATTGTAAGTCAATGCCTCTGGCAAAGAAAGTCCCAATAGTAAAGGCAGTGGAAGAGAAGGAGGCGGCAAGGTCAATAATTTGAGATTGCTAAGAGTATATACTCGTCGTTCTAATCGTTGATTTTGTGTATTAGCATGTAATGGAGTGTACAGCGCATAAACTTTGAACTTCTTTTTTAAAACCCCTTTTAATATGAACTTTTGAGCCGGTCCCCTGGAGTTCAATTTAATGAGATTCCACTGTACCATACTTTTGCCAAACCGCTGCCTACAATACAATGCTAGTGCCTCCTTCCCATTGAACTAACCAGTACATGATGCATCTCCATTCACCACTGTCAATTCAAAGCCAGGACCACAAAGACAGGGTGTTAGCACTCTCCAGTGTCCTTCGTCAGTGCACTGGAGTGCAGGGTCCAACCCATCGAGTGTACTACTGTTGGCGACACATTTCCCCACGACTCTATTCCGGGGTGGTAACACCTCTGGATGTTGTATCAACCCCGTTTGCTCTCCCGAACACAGAGCTCCATTGTAGAACACGAGAACGCGATGAACAAAAACGCAAGTTCCAAGGTCCACAAGGGCCAGATACATTCCCGACTCTTGCGTATCAAATTCCACGTTTATTCGTGCGGTTTCTGTCCCTATCCCATCGCTTGAAGCATTCGGGCTTAAAATGCCTACTAACACAAAGTTGTCAATTTTCCTTGGCGACGTTTGGATCAATAGCAGACGTTTCCCACTTGCGTAGCTCAAAACTCTGGACGCACTGGCGCTCACGATCACACAGCTGGAACTCGAACTCTATTTTGACTGTAAAGGCACTAAAGAGCTGTCCGCTGCTCAGATGACGACTGATGTGTTGTGTGATGAGCCAGTTTTCCTGCGTGCCAGCACTGAACCCACACACAAAGATATTGCCACTGCAGGGAGTCGCAGATAGCTGAAACCACTGAAGAAAAATGAGAACGTCAGATTTTGGTATAATTATAGAGACTGAAAAATCGCCAAAATATTATGTTGGTCTGTACATTTAATAGCAATGAGCAAATAGCAGACACACACACATGGACCAACAGAATAATCTGCTTATCATAACCATTATTTCGACATACTTATTCCACTGCGTGCATAATAGAACACCATGCATTACAAGCTGCTTTCACAATAAGTCACTAAAATACCCATATTCCAGCTGTGTGGATTACAAGAACACACTGATGAGAGAGCACACTTCCAAGTGGATATAACCTTATACTCTAATATTATGCTGTGTAAACAACGCTGAACCCAAGAAGGATGCCAGCTGAACGGTATCACAACTGAGGGCAACAGTAAAAAGTCTTCACATGCCTAAATTCACAGTCTAACAAAGGACAAAAGAAACTAAACAATAGCAAGCTCCACTATCCTGGTACGCTTTAGTACCACCAGGTTATAGGCTGTTAATGCCCCAGAGCCTCTGTACCATGCACATATAATAGTATGTCATTTTTAGCTCTACACTCCTATAATAAGAGCAATCCCCGCCACTATTATTAAGAACTAGAGCACAATTGCACGTAGTAATAATCACATTGGTAGCAACTCCTTGCGTGTTGTTCGAGTCGGCGTCCACTTGCTGCCACACAGCTTCATCCCCTATCAAGAGACTCATGTAGTGCCTGGAGTCCATGAGCGGCCGCTCGTTGTCTCCGTACACGGGTTGCATAGTGAAGAACGGGTTCGGGTCGCCGTCTATGTACTCCTTGAGGCAATGCACGGAGCCGTCGCCCGGAGCTTGTGCCCGTGCGAAGGCCAAGACACCCACTACACTCAAGAGAACCTGTAGAACCGTCGTCATTGCCTGGGGCTCGGGTCGGGCATGAGAGCAGCACGCGTGCAAAAACGGGGAGTGGCTCGTACAGCGTGGGCGTAGTTTTACTGAACCACCATAACGGAAACCGTTCCCACCGGTTGCTGTTGCTGCGGAAGTCCCAAATACTCTGTGTGGCCACATCGAACAACCCGCCATGGCTGGGAGTTACACGCAGTCTGGCACCGGGAGGACGTTCGCTCTGCGGATGATCCTACTGGGCGAGGCTGGGGCCGGGAAAACGTGTCTCTACCACTGGATAAAGTACAAGGTTATTAGCTAACTACCACACCGGCTAAACGCTTGTCAGCGTTTGTAGCTATAGCTAGCTATTTCTGATTAGGTTGTGTGCAGTGCTACTCCTCATTCTCAAACCTCCCACTGTAGGTAAACACATGAATAGAGTTGTTAAAAAAAAGTGGTATAACAAGTAAATGCCGCATAAATCCAAATAGTATAATTATATAGGACATTGTTGTGTGATGACAGTAGGCCAGGGAACTTATCTGTACGGCCAAACTTTGTGTAAGCTACCAGCAGCCTTTCCTTGTCAAAAACAGACCAGATCTGATAAGACTATTTTCACTGTTGTGTTAACAGGTGTTTCGAGATGGCACCATTAACACCGGTCCAGCACCATCTTCCACTAGTACTTCAAGACAGAGGCAGTACGACCAGCATACTATGCATATAAGCATCTCACCCAGTGTCAAAGTCATGGTAAGTTCTTGCAACAATTTAACCTGTCAAAGACCAGAGCCTCATAAATCAGTCTATAAAGTTAAAATATCTGCTGTCTATATGGCATCCGAATGGTCTCCTATACTAGTCGAAGAAGATCTACTACAATCTATGTCACTCTATGTTTCTCAGTCGTCTATAGTGGGATAGCGATGATTGAAAATGTTCACTATTTTAAATAGTATTATGTGCTTATGTGACACATAGGAAGGGTGTGGTTGAGTATATACAGTTGTTGGGAATTACTTGCTGGCGATTCTTGGGAATTGTTACTTTAACTTTAGGATTTGGTTTCAGTATGTTTTCACAGACAGCACCTTATCAGGTGATGTTGCAGTGAGTCAAAAAAACAATGTTATTACCAAGAATCATTATACATAAAGTACAGTTCCTAAAACCTACCCTTACATACCAATAACATTAAGGCAGACTTTGGGAGATTATTTTTAGTTTTCTTTTCCAGCAGCACTTAGTGCTTTATGCTTGCTCGGCACTGTACTATACTTTGTTGTCTGCTAGTGTAGAGAGTGCACACGTGGCTGCCATAATGCTACTTATAGCAATGCCATTGTACACATGTGTCATGTGTCGAGCATTTCATAGTATCTGGTAATAACTTTTAAAAAATGAATGTTCACACTATGCCACCACACTCTAGTTGACAGTAGTTGACACTGCAGACGGAGAAAGGTTTCAGTCTCTCACGGCTCACTACTATCGTCGCACCAACATAGTCCTCCTGGTGTGCAGTCTGGACGACGAAGTCACACTCACTAGACTCACAAAGTGGTACCGCGACTCTATGTACTATGTCGATGAGCACGACATCGTCTACGCCGTGTGCGGTCTAAAGTGCGACCTTCCCGATTACAGAAAGGAAGTCACTCTCGAAATGATGCAGAGGTTTGCAAGACACGTCGAGTTCCCAGAGGGATGTGTGTTTGAGGTGTCGGCCAAGACTGGAGAAGGAGTGGACAATATGCTTGCCACTCTGTGCTCAACTGCTGTCGACAGGATCAGAAGAAACACACCAATCCCTGAGCGTAAGATATTATTAAAGCCACAGTATTGAAGGGGAAGAAAGGATGGTTAGTGTTTGTGTAGGTGTCGGCTAAAAAGGCGTATGAGCTACCGCGTTCAGTCACGGCTCATGAAGCTAGCATTCACTATTGGAATGCATGTTGATTTTCTCCTATAACTTTGTTACCCTTCACTCTATATAGAGCACAGTATATACTTAGTGCCATGTTGTATAATAGTGTTTTGTGGGACATTGTATGCATACCTACCTACCAACCTGCAGATAAACCTTTGCTCGAGAAATGTGTCAAATTTGCTTGTTAGAGTATTTTTGGTCAGTTCTTCATGTAAGACTAAGTTTTGAGTAATGAAATCTGCTGGTCAGCATTTTCATTGTTCTTAGCTCGTAACCCATGTTCATAAACTGTTTTTCTTATGGCATACTATGCATTGGGTAACCAACAACAAATTTCGTAACTCAAAACTTAGAAGTAACATGGGTATTTTTTTGCTTGAGAATGCTGCATGTCCATTCACAATATCACAGGTTAGCACAAAAAAAGAGGGATTTGGTGATTTTCTGGTGGGATAGGCAGTACTTTTGCTTGATTATAAAGCAGAAAGCTAGATGGTTGGTAGGTATGTGTATGGCAAAGTGCATTAGCAAATTGAACACACTTTAGATAAAATACACTGACTTTTAAAGGGAGCATGGCAGTATAAAACAGACAAACATACATAGAACATATTTCACTACTATCCTGGCACTGGGCCCTATTGTTTAATTCTTCTTAATTATCTATATATATAACAGTAGCATAACACCCAACTTCTTTTCAATGGAAGGTGAGATGTATATAGCTACACTATGATGATTGTGTGTAGCTAACTAGTACTTTCAAGGTGAAATGTGGAAGAGATTGGACTAAATATGAGCAGTTTCATGGTGAAATGTGGATATTAAATAGATAGGAATTTCCCCCTATTATGCAGCTGCTGGCCTCCAGAACAGTGGAGAATATTCCACGCTACTTTTTGGTGACTCTCGCTACAATGACGGAAGACCGGAACATGAAGTTCAATCACAGCGTAGATGTTGCAAGTGTGTAATTCTTTGAGTGTGCTCTTCTCCGTATTTTTAACCCTCTTTCGAAGCATATCATAGCTGCGCAAGCACCACTTGAAATGTGCGCATGCGCTGAATCAGTACTTGCGCATGCTCACACGATCACTGAGGGGTCAAAGTCGAGACGAGACGACCAGACGCTGCAATGGGGGCGAATTTCTCAACCATGTCGCTGGTAAGGGCTACTCACTTGGCGTGCTTCTCTGCCTGGTACGGAACGCAGATATGGGTAACCTTCTTCGCCGGTAAGTGACGCTGGGACCGTAATAATAGACTCTGACTCAAAAGGTTTTTGCTCCCGTATATAGTAACAGTTTATGCACAAACACAACTATATAGCTGTAGTTAAACATATGTCTGTGGTATAAAACTCTGCATAAATTTGAGGCTCGAGCTATTCCTTTCCACTGTTTGATATCAGGCAAGTGTCGCTACTAGAAATTGTTTTTATCCATAGCTAATTACTAATACGTGTGTATTT